GGGTGGGACGATAAGCTGCCATCTGAGTTCTGCCAAAGGTGGCACAGTTTTCTACAGAGCTATTCGGTCCTTGATCAGGTCCGGATTCCAAGATGGGTTTCCTTTCGTCCAGAATTCCGCTTAGAGCATCATGGATTTTGTGATGCCTCGCAGAAAGCCTACGGCGCTGCGATCTACGTACGCGTAGAGATGGGACATACCACGATGGTACACCTGCTCACCGCCAAAACGCGTGTTGCGCCAGTCAAAACTGTGTCGCTTCCTCGACTAGAGCTGTGCGGAGCTTTACTGCAAGCCGAAATGACTGAAGCGATCCTTCCCAGCATGCCGATGCTGAATTCGAGTCTCCACTGCTGGACCGACTCCACCATTGTGTTGGCATGGTTAGCAAAGCCAGCTTGCCATTGGACTACTTTCGTTGCCAACAGAGTGACGAAGATCACTCAGTCCACAGAGGCAGCCAATTGGTCTCACGTTCAATCCGAACATAATCCCGCTGACTTGGCTAGTCGAGGGGTGGCGCTTCCAGAGCTTGTCGGTAGTTCTCTCTGGTGGCATGGACCCACTTGGTTGCAAAAACCACGCACCCAATGGCCTAGCCAGGGGACCGACCTACCCGTGACCGAAATCGAAAAGCGAGCAGTCAAAGCCCACGTGGCGTATATTCCGAACGAAGACATCCTTGATCGTTTTTCCAAATTGGATAGAGCGTTGAGGGTCCTCGCGTATGTCCAGCGATTTATCAGTCGGTGCAAAAAACAATCGCCGCTTTCAGAGATCCGTCTGGAGGCCAAGGAACTTGTCGCCGCCGAACGGCTCATGATTCTCTGCACTCAGCGCAGGTATTTAACTAACGAGTATCGCTGTTTGAGTCAGAAGCTTCCGGTGCCTCCTTCCAGTTCGATCCTCTCCTTAAACCCTTTCCTAGATCAGGAGGGGCTGATAAGGGCATGTGGCCGTGTCACAGCCTCTGAAAGTTTGCGTTACGATGAACGACATCCGATAATCCTCCCGTACGAATGTTCACTCTCTCGGCTTCTGGTAAAGTTCACGCATCTCATAACGCTACACGGATGTAATCAGTTGGTGGTACGTCTTACCCGGTCCAGATATTGGGTTCCGAGAATTAAAAACTTGGTGAAGGCAGTTATCAATGCCTGCAAGGTCTGCGTTATCTACAAAAAGAGATTGCAAGTTCAGATGATGGGAAATTTGCCAAGAGAACGAGTGTCATTCTCCCGTCCTTTCACGTACACGGGGATGGACTACGCAGGGCCCTTCGATATAAAGAATTACACTGGTAGAGCATGTCTTATTACAAAAGGGTATGTGTTGGTTTTCATTTGTTTCTCCACCAAGGCTATCCATTTGGAGCCTACTTCAGATCTGACGACCGAGAAATTTCTTGCGGCGTTCGCTCGGTTCGTATCCAGAAGAGGGTGTCCTCGCCAAGTGCAGTCGGACAATGGGAAGACCTTTGTTGGCGCTGCCACATTACTGTCCCGAGATTTTCTCCAGGCCGTTAAAGAGTCTTTGACTGATGCTTATAGTCATCAGCAGCTCGACTGGCATTTCATTCCGCCAGGAGCACCCCATATGGGCGGCCTATGGGAAGCTGGTGTCAAGGCGTTGTTCTATAAATGCACAGCTACGCGGAAGTATACTTTTGAAGAACTTGCCACTCTGCTAGCGAAGATTGAAGCTTGTCTAAACTCCAGACCGCTATCTCCCATGTCAGAGGATCCCACTGATCTTCTAGCGTTGACACCAGGGCACTTTCTTGTCGGCGGCCCTCTTCTATCCATAGTGGAGCCCGAAGTAAAGGGGGAATCCAAGACCATATTGAACCGGTGGCAACACTTGAAAGCTCTCCATCAGCAATTCCGCGCTCGATGGAAGGACGAGTACCTTAAAGAGCTCCACAAGCGCAACAAGTGGAAGTGTCCCACCGAGAGTATGCGGGTCGTGGACATGGTCGTCATCAAAGACGACAATCTGTCCTCAAATGAGTGGCGACTCGGTAGAATCGACTCCGTCTTTCCTGGAGCCGATGGCAACGTCCGCGTAGTCGACATCCGGACGGCGCGCGGCATTGTCCGGCGTCCAGTAGCCAAAACTGTTCTCCTTCCCGGAGAGGCTTCCCGCACTTCTACCCAGTAATCCAAACGTCGCTACGGAAGTCCGTAAGCCCCGAATCATTCCATTATAAAAAATCTTCCTTTGTTTTTTTTCTTCTTCATATTCCACCGCCAAAACCCGTAGGCAATGGCTCCACGTAAGACCAACGCTCAGATATTGGAGATCAGGCGGACTCGAGGCACGCAGTCCTACCGGTGCCGAGTCTGCAGGGGGGATCCACCCTCTAAAGAGGTGCCAGAGGTTACTCAAGCTGAGCGCGGAGAAGCGGCTACGGGCAGTTCTTTTTCATAAGTACTGCGCAAATTGCCTTGCCCACGAGCATTCGCAAGAGGACTGCCGTAGCGGTGACCGGTGCAGAACGTGCGATGAGGAGCATCACACGCTGCTCCACATTGCCAGCAGCCCATCTTCGGCTAGATCCTGTCCGGCGCCTACAACCAGGGCTGATTATGTTGCACCGCCATCGGTTGCAAAGGGGGCGGAATGTTCAGGCCTCTCCCGCTCTCCCTCTCCCGGAGCTTCTCCCCACACCGCATTCTCCCTCTCCCGGAGCTTTATGCATGTCGCGCTCGGCCGTCCAGGCTCTCCACTCCCCGAGCGCAAGAAGTCTCCGCTGCGCCTCCAAGCGCCTAGCTTAGAATAGCATAAGTTAGTTCCAAAATCGTCACCGCATGAATAAACGCCCGGCCGGTCCGCGCTAATACCGAAATTCCAAGTCTTTTCCTTTTCCGCGATCGCCGAGTGTTTTTTCTCGCCCCCACAGCTTACACCGCCAGCCGTCGCTGCCTACCAGGAGTTTGCTGCCTTCAACGTTGGACGCCCCAGCACAACATTTGCCGTAAACACAGATGCTCTCTTTCCAATATAAACTTTAAAAACAAAATAATAGAAAATGTATATAGTTTAACCATTTTGGGCCTAACCTTCGATACCAAACTCCTTTTTAATGTACACTGTATTAAATTAAGAAAGCACCTCGAGATTAGATTTAATATTATAAAATTTTTGTCATCAAAATATACCAGCATTCATATAAATACGCTTTTAGGGATTACTCGTGCCCTGATGCTCTCCAAAACAGACTACGGCCTACCAGTTTACGGATGGTGTGCTAAATCACACTTAAGCAAATTGCAGGCTCCATACCATGGTGCAATTCGACGTGCTATTAACGCTTTTCCTACCTCTCCCATGTATTTTGACCGAATCTGGACTACCGCGCATTCAGGCTCGCAGAGAAGAAACGACCATGCAGCTCATTCCCAAACTGCATTTGACAAAAAATGCTCTATTAAGAAAAGATTTTTCAGCCTTGTTTAAGCAAAAAGGAATTACAAAGTTATATCCACGCTTAGGCGATGTGCCAACTACACAACCCAGCTTGGCCTACCACCGCCCAAACATATGAACACTGCTAAACCCCCAGCTTATTGGAACAGTAAAAAACCTAATGTGAACCTGGATTTGCATAACGCCTCAAAAAAGAACACCACGAGATCAGAATTCCAGACCCGCTTCCGATCGTTACAGGAAAAACTCGGCTCAAAATCAAGGCTCTACACCGACGGATCAAAAACAGACGAATCAACTACCTTCGCTGTTGTCGACAGCGAAGGCAAAATAATCTCAGGAGGAATGCTACCTCAGTACAACTCTATCTTCACAGCTAAAGCCTTCGCCATATTACAAGCCTGCCTCTTCGCCACGAAACAATCTGGATACTTTGTTATCTGTACTGATAGCCTTTCCACCTTATCTGCTTTAAGGAACTGGGGGCACACCGATCCCACAATCGTGGAGATTAGAAAACTTTCCACCACCAACAATATAACTCTTCCAGCCACCAAGGAATCGTTGGCAACGAACTGGCAGATCAGGCCGCCCAGGACATGAGACAAAAACCGTCTTTTCTTTTTACACCTTTCAACAGCAAGGACTTAAGAAATAGAATCCGACTTCACCTTAAGGATAAACAAATTGGTGAATGGGAATTACTTGACCACTGATATTTTTCCATTAATAATACCTTCACAAAAATTTCTCTGCCTGCCTACCTTGGTAAGCGAGCATGTTCAACATTCATACGCCTGCGCATCGGACATACTCGTGCACCACACGAACATATCCTCACAGGAACACCACGTCCCGTCTGCCTTTGCGGCGGACGCCTGGAAATTGATAATTTGCTCAACTCATGCCGTCCTCTGGAGAGCGTCACGGCTCTTATTTTCAAAGAACAAAAACCTTCAGACACTTTAAAAATGGTTTCACAAGAAAACATAATTAACCTTCACAAATTCGTACTTAAAACCAACCTAAATATTTAAGTTTTTTTTTTTTTAATTATTCGATTAACCCGGAGTCCTAGGGCCTACTACCAGCTAGTACTCCTTAAGAAATACATTAGATTTAGTATTGTATGCTAGATTTAATTTTGTTAAATAAATAAATAATTTTGTAAATAAAAATTATTATTTTTAAAATAGAAAATAAATTTTCAAAAATAATTCGTAATTTACTGAATTTTTTAAATGCCCCTGGAGTAGACGTTGCATGCCATAAAATTTGAAGACATTTGATTGTTTAAAACAAAAAACGTCCCCAATGTTAACGTTGTGCATATGTATTGATATTTAAGTGTATATTTACATATATAGTTTATGTGGTCTTCTGTGTCTTCTTCACTACGTTGCAAACGTTTGACTAAAACTATATGTACCTTGTTTTCCTTGATTCTTGCCAAAATTGTAGACTCTTTGAAATCATATAATTATGATAATTTTAAAACTGCAGGGTTGTGCTTACACAACGTCAGACTTTAAATAGCAGTCGCCTTTCGCACAGGGATTAAGGTACCTTAATCTGTTTGTAACGTTTTGAATATTTATTTATTTAACACGTTTAACCTTAATAATAGAAATAAAACGGATATTTAAGAACAATATTTTAAGCACGAGAACCGCTACATGTGCTCCTTACGGGAGGGAATAGGTTTCCGTAAAAGTATTAACATACTATTTTTCCCTTTTTTGTTTACTAAAAAATAAACGAGTTGTATTAGTATGGTAGCTATTATAACGAAATTTTTAATTTAATTTTCAATAATAATTTTAGCTAATTATTATTGGAAAATGAATTAATTAAAAATATTTAAAAGATTATTACTTTCTAGCCATAGCAATGCCTAGTCCCAATATTCCGCCAAGTACAAGCGCTGCTCCGCCGGCGACGGCCATGCCTTTCGCCACTTCCTTATCACTTTGTTTTTTAATGTATTCCTAATAAATAAAGAATTTTTAATAACTATGGTTTTGAATACATATGTATGTACATATGTATAGCTAATTAGCAATTTACCTCAAGAGCGCGCACTTGATCATTGGATTCTATATCCAAAAACGCCTTGCAATATTTTAAACCGGATGTGTACTCTTTAATACGAGCATTTCCAAATGCAAGGTAATAAATATAATCCCGCTTTCCATCTGGATGCGTTCGGGCCAATTCTTCCAGTATCATGATTCCCTATGTCGTTAATAAAATATTACTATATATATATGTTACCAATTAAAAACTCAATGAAAGTCACCTTTCTAATGTCGTTTGTATAGCGACTACGAACCAGACAGAATGCGTACCTACCATGTTTAACAACAAAATTTAAAAAAAAGGTCAGTTTTCACTCAAGATTTAATCCAAAACTTGCGTACTCAAACTTTGTCTCTGTGGTAACTTCTCCATCCAATTCTAGTTCGTGGTGATATTTTTTTCAAACCTCTGTATAATAAAAAATGTTCATGCCTAAACAACAAAGATTAAATCACACTCGTTACCTCTAAATCTTCTTGAGGAACTACGTCGTTTAAAAATTCATCCATTTCTTTAACTTCTTAGGCACAACGTTATCTTGTCAATTAAATTTGCAATAAGACCGTAGTTTGATAATTAATCAATATACCATATCATGCTTTCGAAAATCTATGAAAACAGTAATCATGAATGACACCACATTCTCACAGATCACATCTAATGTTGAATTAACATATGTAGATTGGAATTAGGTATGTAGAATATAAATTAGGAAAATATTCTGGTAATTGTTTACAAGTGCGGTGCACGGTAAATACAGCTAAAAAAAATAAAGTAAAATATGAAAACGATGTGATTTTTTCTAAATCTTCGAAATCCGTTGGCGGAGAGTGAAAATTTTGCACCGTTTTTTTGTTATTAACAATTAAAGATGCGATTTGTAGTACAAATTCGGATTTGAGTGACCGGTCACTCAGACCCGAATTTGTACTACAAATTGCATCTTTAATTGTTAATAACAAAAAAACGGTGCAAAATTTTCACTCTCCGCCAACGGATTTCGAAGTTTTAGAAAAACACATCGTTTCCATATTTTACTTTATTTTTTTAAGATGTATTTACCGTGCACCGCACTTGTAAACAACTACCACCAAAACATTGATGAATAAACAATTTTTTTTAATTATAAGACTACACAATATTTAGATAATTAAAACCGATTTGAACTGAGTGGTTATTAAATTTTTTGAGTTAACTCGTTTGTTCTTATAGGGTTAGCATAGACTAGAAGCGGGCAAAAGCGAAGTCTTTGGTATTTTTCAGTATGTTTTATATTTTTGTCAATTGATGACGGTTCATCACTAAGGAAATAATCGATGTAAGCTTCAGTAAACCATCTGACTCTGTAAATCACTTCCCATTGATTTGCAAACCTGACATGATAGGGTTTCCAGTTGATCTGTAAAGTTGGATCTCTAGTTACTTAGTCCCTTTGTGCTTTTCAAAAATTCCTTAAGTTGTCTTCTCAAATTACCTCTGGTGTATCATAAGGAAACCCTGCTCATTAATGATCTTCCATTTGTCATTCCGCATTCCGGCGTACTTATGTACGCGGATGATGTAAAACTGTGTCTGCATTGTAATGAATACTCCTGTCATTTAAACCTTCGAGCAGACCTGAACAATTTTCAAAACTGGTGTGAAGATAACTTATTAAATTTAAACAGTACTAAGTGCAAGCTGATGACGATTTGTCGGGTCAATCCGCATAATGTCACCTATTCGCTTAGTGGGAGAACCTTTGAAAGAATAACGCTTGTTGACGTTCTTGGCGTCCTCTTTGACCCTAAGCTTAAATTTTTACTTCAAATTTCGAAGGTGGTTTATAAAGCTAGGGGAATGCTTGGATTTATAAAACGATGGTCGAAGGAATTTGAGGATCCTTACGTTACCAAGACTTTATTTATATCGTTGTCCCGACCAATCCTTGAGTATGGGTCCGCCGTATGGTATCCCCAATATGGAGTTTACGCTGATCGTATAGAATCAGTCCAAAAAGCTTTTTAATTTTTGCCCTACCCCGCCTAAAATGGAATGCCAACCTATTCCTACCCTCCTATCCTAATAGATTGCTCCCTATTAACTTGCCCTCCCTTACTAATTGTAGAACGATGCTTGGTACTGTGTTCATTCACAATCTTATCCGTGGTGAAATTGACAGTGCTTACTTGTTAAGTAGACTAAATTTCTCGGTTCCAAGTAGATTTACTAGAAATTATGTTACTTTAGTTTTAAATCTTTGTAGATCTTATTATGACGTGGCTTTCAGGGTACTTTGTTCGGACTATAATAGACTGTTTTCTATAGTATCTTCTTCTGACTCTCTGCAGCTTCTAAAGCGATTAATACTAACATTTCTGGCACGAAATTAGATCGTTAAATTTAATATTAAAATGAAATTTAACTTTTCTTTCGTTTTTAAATTTTTTCCTTTTTTTCATTTAAAAATCGCGTCCAAATTTTCGCGAATCGTGCCGTACGAATCACGGCGGTCACCCCTCGGTCGATTGGGCGGGTAGTGGGCCGTGGGACTACGCGCGAAAAAAAGTTGTTGTGGATAACTCATGCGAAATCAAAACATAAAACATAACGCGATTAAATGAGTTTTCCCATTGCAAACGCTTCTAAGGAGCATTCGAGGAGTGTAACGAAGCTATAAAAATGATTAACTATGAAGAATAAAATAATGTGCTGGATTGCATAATACAAATTACAGTAGAATCCGCTTATAGCGACTTTCAAGGGACCGACGAGTTTTCGTTGTTATACCCGGAAGACGCACTAAGCAAAAGGATATAAGTGTATAAGTCTGCCTGGGGACCAATCAAGCCATCGAGTTTTCGTCGCAATACCCGGTCGGACACTATAAGCGGAGTCGTTATAACAGGATTCTACTGTATAAATGCATAAATAAAGAGATATTATGACCTTTGCTCACGGTACTTTTGGGAAAGTATGCAACCGGGCTTCGATTCTCGCGAAAGTGCGAATCTGCTAGGTGCCGAGCCGACGGCATCCAGACCAACTCCGTGAGTGGGTCGAATAGTATATGCCGTAGTAAGGACTTTGTCTGACCTGTGTGCGATATACTGCTATCCATCGTAACATCCCCAAGTCGAGAAGAGCAAGTAGTGAGCCTAGTGCACGATAGCAGCACCCGGAAAATTTTTATTCAACTGATTTACAATCCATTCTAATTCGTCGTGTATATTGAGTTTATTCTCCTTCCCCGTTTGGTTGGTATCGAAACAAACAATGCATTTCTTCGGAGCTTGGGAACGTTTTGATACTGATATTAATTAGAGATTAATATTGTTGTGCTCACCATAGAAAATATTGACATAAATCGCGGTGCTCAAATAATGAAGGGTGGTGACATGATTACTGTGGATATTTATTCCATAGCTTGTCTTGCTGTTGGCGGCTATTTAGTGTTAATTTCTTTACGTCTTGTTCAAGTTTGGCTGCCGTTTGTTATTGAGTTTGAGGGTGGAAAAATTTATATGATGCAATCTCAGTGACAAGATCTGCCAAAGAAGTGTATATATTACAAAAAGGAATAATGGATACAAGTTTTCGTTAATATGCGAACTACCAGATATATAAATGAACATATACGCCGCAATAAATAAAGCAGAAAGTTGAGAAAGAGTAAGACTGTTACGACAATAGTTTCGAATATTACAGTTTGCTAGTCTTTGAATTGAGAAGCAGCTAGACTTGGTTCTGAAGGTAACACGCGGCAAAGCTTCTTGACGACTACTAAAGCAAATTGGCGTAGCGCTCATAATTTCCGTCAAACACTCCGAGACCTCACTGCAGCTTGTTATCAGAACTGAGATATCGCCAAAAAAGACATAAGATAACAAACACTACAATAAACCAATTTCGTCAGCTCTTACTGGCAGGAATCGATCGCAATGTAGAAATAAAAACCAAATCCAAAGTTACCAAGAAGATAAGCAAGACAAGACAAGGTGCGCTGACAAGAAATTGAATTTCTATTCTTAGTGACCCAAGGAACTTAAACCACTACCAATTTTTGTAAGTCGGGCAAACTGTGCTGGATCGGTTAAAAAAATAACTGATACAATTGGAGCAAGCAAATTTTTGGTAAAGTCCTTAATCCTTTCATCCATACTAATATATAAATGTGAAAATGTTTCTGTCTGTCTGTTACTCTTTCACGCCTAAACGGCTGAACGGATTTTGATGAAATTTGGTATGGTGATAGATGATAACCTAGAAATCATAATAGGCTATAAATAATCACGCCATCGTTCTTAGGTGGTAAGCAGCAGGTGGCGAAACGGAATAATCACGCAATCATTCTTATGGGGTAGGCAGTAGGCATTACGTTTTAAGTAAAAAGGTTTGCTTTATCAAAGTTCTTATACAAAAATTGTCTTACGTTTTAGTTTTTAAAACTCCCGTTATTGTTTTCGATATGCCACGCAAACGTAAATCCAATCTAAGCAGTATTTCTAGCAGAGCTCGAGCTGCAAATGTTGCTAGAGGCCAAGAATCTGAAGAGCAGACTCGGACGCGTCAGATGTTAGATTCTCAGCGTCATGCGACTCAAAGAGCTTCTGAGACCTATGCGCAGACTCGGGCCAGTCAGACCCTGGATGCTGAACGCCACGCATCTTAAAGATCTGCTGAGACAGTGGAACAGACTCAGACACGTCGAGTTTTAGATGCTGAACGTCACGCGAAATTGTTTGCAGCAGGGTCTGACGAAGATTCACAAAGACGACGTCTTTTAAATGCTGAGCGGCAGGCAGAAAGAACACGTACGTTACCAATGAGAACGTGGGAGGCGTTTAATGGTGCCTCTTTTGAGTAAGACCCTTTGATCGACTATGTTAATAACCGAGTGGATATCATTGGGAGAATGGATAAAAAATGCAGATATTGTGAAGCACTTAAATGGAAAGAAGAAACTCCAGGTATGTGCTGTTCTGGTGGAAAGGTTGAAATTCCATTACTTGGCGAGCCAGAGGAACCTCTCAAATCTTTACTTTTATACGACAGTAACGAATCGCGCCGGTTTTTAAGCAGGATTAGAAGGTATAATTCTTGCTTTCAGATGAAGACGTCATTTGAAGTAGATAAGGAGGTCGTAATGCCTGGATTTTCACCTACTTTTACCATCCAAGGACAGGTGTATCACAGAATTGGTTTCTTACTTCCCGCAAATAATGAACAACCAAAGTTTTTGCAACTTTAAAAAAAAAACCGGGCGAAGCTGGGACGGGCAACTAGTGCTAAATAAAACTGGGGACACGTAGAGAATATTTAACTCATTTCGATTTTCGATACTCTAAGTCCTTTGGTATGTCCTTACTGCGATGTTGTATATATATAAATAAATACGTACATATACGAGTAATATTACCTTTACAAGAAAATACAATTATGAGATTTTTATTAACAATATTTATTTTTCTGTATTAGTATTTGGGTTTGAGCACAATTGGGCATAAAATGTTAACATTTTGACCTAGGAAAGCCTTTAGTACATATTCAACATCTACCTTTTGATCCCCACTGA